TGTTTGGGTTAAAGGAGTTCCATCAGGTTTTTTTTAAATAGTAATTTTTGCCACAAACAAAATTACCTTTAAATTGAAGGAGACCTAAAAATAGTAGTTTACTAAGTTAGAAAAACACCAAAGAGATAATAAAAAATCATAAAGGAACAAGGATGATCAGGGATGGAGAAGATTAACACAAGTTTCAAATGACGAACTTGAAAAATTTAGGCTAAACTTTTCAAGATGTGCAAACTGTGACGTAGCTCCTTGAAACGGTGACCAAGGCAAATGCAAAATCCTAAGCCACTTTATTTGAGTGTCAAAGTGTTCAGCATTACTGTACTAATTGGGGATACTGACATAAGCAAAACAAAGTAAATTGGGATCACCAAACACAAATCCATCCAATGGTAGGAGGAGGATTTGAAGCCCAGGACCTTCTGGATTACAAATTGATTTTTAATAATAGTTTAACAGAGATGTTTTTAATTAATGTCCTTTGTTGAAGGATAACTGGAATATCTAGAATGTCCTTTGTTATATTTGGATATTTTTTTGATACTCCATTTACCTATTTTCCAAAGTATTTTCTTTCCAAATTTTGTGAAATTCTAACAAGTGGAAAGCTATTCACAGTATTCAGTCTCAATTTTTTGACTGACTACTTGAACGCATGTGCTACATTTAACTGGGTTCTTTTGGCAGCAAAGAAAAACCTAAGTTCTAATCACTGGGCTCTTTGCATGGTTACTTTTCCTTACATACGTTTCTAATAAAAGACTAAAATCATCAATACACTGTGTCATTTATGAAGAAAAATGGTATAGGTAGCACAGGCATGGAGCAAGTAAAATGATTGCTGTATGAATGCCCATGCTGAATTACATTAGCAGTAGTGCATGCAAAATTGTGACATTTGGCTAAGTTAATTTAATTGATTTGTTTGTCAAATGTGTTGAATTTTGGTGGCTCTAGTGTAATCTGGAACAACTTGATTGAGACCTTTTGCATAACTGTTGGCTGTCAAGAGCTTTGTCTGCATTTTCCTCATTCAGGGACTTCTGAACTGTAGCTTAACTTGGTTTGGCTTCTTAATTTCCATTGACACCTTCAAATAGTTTCGATTTATTTAGTGCTGGAGAGGTTAACTTTGAACTTCTTTTGCAACAGGAGAATGCCCATTTTAGTATATCTGAAGCACTGATTGCTGCCATTGAACAGGTATGTTGTAGCTTGTTATTCTGCTATGGTATGTGTTAAAGTTATGCATATTGTAATTTTCAAGAGACATCCTCAGCCAACAAGTCCATTTATTCACATGCATGTAATACAAAATTGATTTGCATTTTGTTCCCACACTCTCCATGCACATTCTACACAGATACATTCACACGCTCGTTCCATGCTTGTTCCATACTTCCCTTTGCAAGATAAATACACAAAGCTTCAGCTTAGTAGAGAAAAGAAAATAAGTGAAAGCAAAAGCAGTTCATTTAAAGTCAGTGTCTTATGATCACAAATTCTTGAAACTTTGGATTTGGTTTAATTATCTTTCCATATCTCGTGACATATCCCTCTGGGCCACTGGGTCTTGTCGGAGTCTTTGCAAGAGACCTCTGAAGGAGCCGGTTCTGGAACAAACAGGAGATGTCTTCGGTTTCTGTGGTACTCCTTTCCTTCAGCTTCAACAATGTACGACTGTGGCTTTGCAGGGGGTTGCTTGACAATGCCCCCTTTCTGGTATCCTTTGTCAGTCTGAAGTTGCACAACTTGCTGTGGACAGAGAAACGTGGACGAGTTTGGCATTCTGATTGTGATATGACTTTTGCTGTTGGCATTTAAGCTTCAAACATGAGGTTATGTGCTTACTGTTGATTGCTTTGGGAGTAAGGAGTTCCTTTGCAACAGGAATAACACATTTGGTATGCCACGACATCAACCACTGCGCAGGAGAACCTAGGACTTGATCTCTTTGAACATTCCCAAGGTTAAGAAGGCCAACCAAGGTGTCAGAACCATCCTTCTTGCATTCCTCTAGCAGGTCTTGGCTTGTCTGACTGCATTTTCTGCAAAACCATTGGACTAAGTAAAGTAAGGGCTGCTAGTGATATGCTCAAGACTCCATTTGCTGGCTTGAAGCTTTTGAATTCCCTGTTTGCAAATTGTGGACCATTGTCAGTTAGCAACTTGGATGGAGGCAGCATGGCCGAGTGGTTAGAGTGCCGGATTTGAAAGCCGTAGGTCCTGGGTTCAAATCCCGTTCTGACCGCTAGCTGATGTTGTTCTCAGTAGCCCCGAGTTCAACTTCTTGGCTGCGCTTGTAAATAGCCAACTGGTCTGCCTCGCGCCAGTTGGATTCTTAACCTAGTTATGTTTATTTGAATATTTATTTATCATATTTATCATTGTTTGTTTACATTGGTCCTGAAGAGCCCCAATGAGGAGTGGCCAATTAAGTATTTAATTTAATTTAATTTAATTTAATTTAATGAAATGCCATGGACAGCAAAATGGTGTTTCATCTTTGTGATCACAGTTTTAGACGACAAGTCACTGAGGGTATTCATTTCAAACCAACCAGGTAGGAGTTGACGAGTATCAGGTACTGCAATCCATTCCAGTCAAATGAGTCTGTGCTCACAAGGGGCCATGGGAGATCTGGAACTGGTTAAATAACGAGTGCTTCTTTCTGCTGGTGAGGTTTTAGCACTATTGCAAGGCTGGCATGATGCTATGGCACAATCGATATTGAGCATCAAAGAAGGCCAATACACGGTTTCTCTTGCTCCTCTCTTTGTAGCATCTATCCCAGGATGCCCCTTGTGGAGTTGTTGAATATACTCTTCATGCAAGGCTTGTGGAACCACAACTCTCAGGCCTTTTAAAATGATTCTATCGTTCATGATCAGCTCATCTCTGATTGGAAAGTATGGCTGTACCTCTGGGGGTACACTCTTGGGCTTTGCTGGCCAGCCATTAGGAATGAAATGAGAAACTCTCTGCATCACAGCCTGATCTGCAAGAGTGTGTCTCTTGAGTTCAGCCACATGTTCAGGAGAAATTGATTTAAGGGACAGGATGTCAATCTGCTTATCAGCCTTGAAATCGGAATTCTCATCGATGTAGGTGCATGACAATGTGTCTGCGACGCAAAATTCAGTCTGCTTCTTGTAGATAAACTTCAAATCATACTTTTGAAGCTGCAAGAACATATGCTGAAGACGGGTGGGGGTTGAATGAAGAGGCTTATTTACAATTGCTGTAAGAGACTTGTGATTGGTCTCAATGGTGGTTTGTCAACCATAGATGAAATCATGAAATTTTCTGCATGCAAACGAAACAGAAAGCAGCTCCTTTTAATTTTGTGCATATCGAATTTCAGCTTCCATTAGGGCTCATTAGGCATACGCCACAGGGTAACCATCCTCTAAAGACGCAGCACCAAGACTGCTCTTTTAGGCATTGATGGACTGCGTGACAGGCTTTAAGGAGTCGAAGTACCTCAGGACCAGAGGTTGAGAGATGTCTGTCTTCAGGCCTTCAAAGTTTGTTGCTCTGCTGGCTCCCAACTCCAGTGTGTGTCATTCCACAGCAATTTGCGTAGTGGCGCAGTCTTCTCACTAAAGATGCTAATGAACTTGTGGAGATAATTGGTCATGCCAAAAAATTGATGCAGTACCTCTGGCCCATCCAGTGTCAGCATCTCTTTAATAGCAGCAACTTTGGCTTCATCAGGCTTGAGACCACCATTCGTGAACTGATGGCCAACATAGGACACTGGGTTGAGGCAGAACGTCCACTTCTTTGGAGCTGGTTTCAGGCTAATATCTTGTACCCTTTGTAGCACCCTCTTTAAGTTTGCATCATGGTGTGCTGTTCCCTCACCCCATACTAACAGGTCATCAATGATGATGGCACAGGGATACCCCAGCAAGCAGCTCTTCCATCGCACACTGGAAGACTTTTGAGGCAGAAGTGATGCAAAACGGCATGCGCAGCATGCGTAGAAACCGGAATCTTCCAAATGGTGTCTTGAAAGTTGTGAGTAATAAAGATTCTCAGTCAAGTTTGATTTGCCAAAAACCACTTCTTGCATCGAGGGTAGATAATACTGTGGCACTGGGCATCTTCAACCGTTCTCATAGGATAATGGGGTCTCTTTAGGGCTTAATTGAGATCCCTCAGATTGATGCAGATGGGAATACTGCCATCTTTTTTCTTTGCCACCACCATTTGTGAGACTCACTCAGTTGGTTCACACGTCGGTGTGATTGCTTCAATCTTATCCATCCTATCAAGTTCTCTTCTAACACTCTCCTCCATTGCAAGGGGTACTCTGGGTGATGGCCTGATAACAGGGGTTACGTTGGTGTCCAGCCTCATATTTTGCAAATTGAGAATTGTAAATTGCCAAGATCACCTTGAGATAAATCTTAAGTTTGTACTTACCAAGTATTGCTGTGCGCAAGGCACTGATGGTGTCAACCTCATGGACCTGGCTGTGCAACTGAATGATATTAAGGAGTCCGTAAGACCAAGCAATGGCATTACTGGCTTGTTGATGATGTGAAATTCCAGGTTATGGGACATAAACTGTAAATAAACTAAGAGCAAGCTATAGTGCCCAGGGTAGTTATTGGTCCCCATGATAGGCAACTTACTGCACTGCCTTCATCTGATCAATCTTCTTATTGCGGCTGATCTTTTTTGATCAACCTTGTGGACAGAATGCCTTGAATGCCTTCAATGATTGGAATCTTGAGTACTTGAATGCCCACCACTATGTTTGTAACAACAAACCTTTTTTAAGTGATTGGGCTTTCAACAATGAAGATCATTAAGCACTTAATGACTGGCCCCAAAGGAAACAGTGAGTTTTGTTTCCCCGAGACCCTCAATGTTACCTGAGACAAAGCCCAGGGTAACATTAAGGGTCTGCAAAGAAATCATTTGTGAAGAAATCATGTGCTTGATGCNAATCATCTCAAAGTTTGGTTTGCAAGAGAGACATCATTGTAACATGGTAATGTCATCTCACTTTTGCCCTCTTGATTGGTTCAAAAATTCAAATTGACATTGCAACACTGAAATAGTTTGCTCGTGTACATGTATGCTTCAAATTTCAGAACTTTGCAGCGATGAATTTGCTGTTAAACTTTTACCTATTGTCATTTGCACAGTTCAGACAACTATTAAGTACTGTACACTAGTTCATCTCTATGAGCTATTTAATGTAAAAGGGGGCTTTACGCAGGCAATGAAAGGCAGGTAACTGGTTTTAATCATTCAAAGACCCAGTCATAACCAAACGACTGCCTTGCCAGATAATAATATTAATTTCTATGTTGAGTTCATTGCTGTCCATGTGCACCCCGTGCACGCACTCCCATATTTCTTTTTTATCTTTGCAGAGTCATTGTACTGCAATGATCCATATTTGGAGGATCCATATCAGGAACAATCCTTAGCAACAATTTTGGCATCACAGGACTTTAGCTCATGTGAATTAGATAAGGTATTTACCAATAGTGCTAAAATCAATGATTAAGTTACTTAGGTACATACTGTACTTGGCCTTGAATTAGTAATGAAAAAGTATGTAAAAAGACAAATTATGGATGCTATATCAGTCATTCCTTATTACCAGTAAATTTAGAAATAATGTTCCTCGTTGTTTCCCATAACATTTTATAGGAAATCAAACCTGATTGTATGCACTTCCATTATTACATTATAAAAGGAAATAATAATGAACCTGCTTTATGAAGAAGAAAAAGAAAATGAGAACAAAAATACCTACAACAGTAGTTTGTTGTCAGAGCTTTGGTTGATTTATTTGAATTGTTGTTCACCTAAACCTTAAACATCAATGCCATACGTGTGGTTTTCCGTTGGCTGAGGAACGAAAGAAGCGGAAAACATTTTTCTCACACACGGCTGGGAGTCTGGGTACAGGTGTGCGGGGGGTTTCAGGTTACGTGGCTTGTGTAAGGTTTCAGTTTTTGTTTCGCCATCTGCCATTGCCTGACATGCCCCACCCACCCACCCGTGAAGTACTTGTAGAATGTGTTAAGTTGGGGTGAAATTATTCTCTAGCCACTTTTTGTGTCATTGTAAGACAATTATGTACTTATGTTAATAAAGTTCAGGCTGTGTGGTTAGGCTTGGCATGGCTCCCAGCGGTGTGTGGGAAAATATTAATGAAAGCATAATGACCACCCACCTTTGTTGTAGGACAGAATGATATTCTTTAGTAATTAAAGGAAGGTTTGTTTATGCTCATTTCTGTTTCAAGATATGTCTACAGTTTTCAGAATAATTTTTATTCTCTGTTGTAGTACAGGGTCTATAATATTCTGTTAAGGAAGTTAATTTCTTAAAATTATTTTGAGGTTCTAACATAGGGTTGGTGAGATATGGGATGAGCCTTTTTTCGCTGCTGGGATGCGGGATAAAGGAAATTTGAAGGCGGGATGCGCGATTGCAAGGGGTCGGCAGGAGGTGGGAAGTTGGTTCTTTTCATGGACAGGAAGCAGGAATTATTGATTTTTTCGTGTAGGATGTAAGACAGTCAAAATTAGGTAAACAAAACAGCCCGTCATTACATGTTAACTCTCAAGTTTTCCTGTTTTTGTCTACTCTTTGAGAGACTGGTTGAATTTCTGATCCTTATCAGAATCAATCTGCAGTCTGACTACTGTCTTCAAGAATGAGTAACCGACTACTGCCTCTTGTCTAAAAAAACACCCTTGTCAGTTATTTTGCTATAGAAGCCATAACATTCTAAAAGGCAAGCTCATGTTTTAACCCGATAACATTAGATAACTATCAAGAAACACTGGGTTTAACCAGACTTAAAAATAGCTCACAATACAACACCCAAAACAACTCAATGCTCATCATGAAATAAATGCCAACTCAGAAGTAGGTAAATGACCATAAATTTACCAACTGACTTTAATTTACTGTTGTTTGGGTTAAAGGAGTTCCATCAGGTTTTTTTTAAATAGTAATTTTTGCCACAAACAAAATTACCTTTAAATTGAAGGAGACCTAAAAATAGTAGTTTACTAAGTTAGAAAAACACCAAAGAGATAATAAAAAATCATAAAGGAACAAGGATGATCAGGGATGGAGAAGATTAACACAAGTTTCAAATGACGAACTTGAAAAATTTAGGCTAAACTTTTCAAGATGTGCAAACTGTGACGTAGCTCCTTGAAACGGTGACCAAGGCAAATGCAAAATCCTAAGCCACTTTATTTGAGTGTCAAAGTGTTCAGCATTACTGTACTAATTGGGGATACTGACATAAGCAAAACAAAGTAAATTGGGATCACCAAACACAAATCCATCCAATGGTAGGAGGAGGATTTGAAGCCCAGGACCTTCTGGATTACAAATTGATTTTTAATAATAGTTTAACAGAGATGTTTTTAATTAATGTCCTTTGTTGAAGGATAACTGGAATATCTAGAATGTCCTTTGTTATATTTGGATATTTTTTTGATACTCCATTTACCTATTTTCCAAAGTATTTTCTTTCCAAATTTTGTGAAATTCTAACAAGTGGAAAGCTATTCACAGTATTCAGTCTCAATTTTTTGACTGACTACTTGAACGCATGTGCTACATTTAACTGGGTTCTTTTGGCAGCAAAGAAAAACCTAAGTTCTAATCACTGGGCTCTTTGCATGGTTACTTTTCCTTACATACGTTTCTAATAAAAGACTAAAATCATCAATACACTGTGTCATTTATGAAGAAAAATGGTATAGGTAGCACAGGCATGGAGCAAGTAAAATGATTGCTGTATGAATGCCCATGCTGAATTACATTAGCAGTAGTGCATGCAAAATTGTGACATTTGGCTAAGTTAATTTAATTGATTTGTTTGTCAAATGTGTTGAATTTTGGTGGCTCTAGTGTAATCTGGAACAACTTGATTGAGACCTTTTGCATAACTGTTGGCTGTCAAGAGCTTTGTCTGCATTTTCCTCATTCAGGGACTTCTGAACTGTAGCTTAACTTGGTTTGGCTTCTTAATTTCCATTGACACCTTCAAATAGTTTCGATTTATTTAGTGCTGGAGAGGTTAACTTTGAACTTCTTTTGCAACAGGAGAATGCCCATTTTAGTATATCTGAAGCACTGATTGCTGCCATTGAACAGGTATGTTGTAGCTTGTTATTCTGCTATGGTATGTGTTAAAGTTATGCATATTGTAATTTTCAAGAGACATCCTCAGCCAACAAGTCCATTTATTCACATGCATGTAATACAAAATTGATTTGCATTTTGTTCCCACACTCTCCATGCACATTCTACACAGATACATTCACACGCTCGTTCCATGCTTGTTCCATACTTCCCTTTGCAAGATAAATACACAAAGCTTCAGCTTAGTAGAGAAAAGAAAATAAGTGAAAGCAAAAGCAGTTCATTTAAAGTCAGTGTCTTATGATCACAAATTCTTGAAACTTTGGATTTGGTTTAATTATCTTTCCATATCTCGTGACATATCCCTCTGGGCCACTGGGTCTTGTCGGAGTCTTTGCAAGAGACCTCTGAAGGAGCCGGTTCTGGAACAAACAGGAGATGTCTTCGGTTTCTGTGGTACTCCTTTCCTTCAGCTTCAACAATGTACGACTGTGGCTTTGCAGGGGGTTGCTTGACAATGCCCCCTTTCTGGTATCCTTTGTCAGTCTGAAGTTGCACAACTTGCTGTGGACAGAGAAACGTGGACGAGTTTGGCATTCTGATTGTGATATGACTTTTGCTGTTGGCATTTAAGCTTCAAACATGAGGTTATGTGCTTACTGTTGATTGCTTTGGGAGTAAGGAGTTCCTTTGCAACAGGAATAACACATTTGGTATGCCACGACATCAACCACTGCGCAGGAGAACCTAGGACTTGATCTCTTTGAACATTCCCAAGGTTAAGAAGGCCAACCAAGGTGTCAGAACCATCCTTCTTGCATTCCTCTAGCAGGTCTTGGCTTGTCTGACTGCATTTTCTGCAAAACCATTGGACTAAGTAAAGTAAGGGCTGCTAGTGATATGCTCAAGACTCCATTTGCTGGCTTGAAGCTTTTGAATTCCCTGTTTGCAAATTGTGGACCATTGTCAGTTAGCAACTTGGATGGAGGCAGCATGGCCGAGTGGTTAGAGTGCCGGATTTGAAAGCCGTAGGTCCTGGGTTCAAATCCCGTTCTGACCGCTAGCTGATGTTGTTCTCAGTAGCCCCGAGTTCAACTTCTTGGCTGCGCTTGTAAATAGCCAACTGGTCTGCCTCGCGCCAGTTGGATTCTTAACCTAGTTATGTTTATTTGAATATTTATTTATCATATTTATCATTGTTTGTTTACATTGGTCCTGAAGAGCCCCAATGAGGAGTGGCCAATTAAGTATTTAATTTAATTTAATTTAATTTAATTTAATGAAATGCCATGGACAGCAAAATGGTGTTTCATCTTTGTGATCACAGTTTTAGACGACAAGTCACTGAGGGTATTCATTTCAAACCAACCAGGTAGGAGTTGACGAGTATCAGGTACTGCAATCCATTCCAGTCAAATGAGTCTGTGCTCACAAGGGGCCATGGGAGATCTGGAACTGGTTAAATAACGAGTGCTTCTTTCTGCTGGTGAGGTTTTAGCACTATTGCAAGGCTGGCATGATGCTATGGCACAATCGATATTGAGCATCAAAGAAGGCCAATACACGGTTTCTCTTGCTCCTCTCTTTGTAGCATCTATCCCAGGATGCCCCTTGTGGAGTTGTTGAATATACTCTTCATGCAAGGCTTGTGGAACCACAACTCTCAGGCCTTTTAAAATGATTCTATCGTTCATGATCAGCTCATCTCTGATTGGAAAGTATGGCTGTACCTCTGGGGGTACACTCTTGGGCTTTGCTGGCCAGCCATTAGGAATGAAATGAGAAACTCTCTGCATCACAGCCTGATCTGCAAGAGTGTGTCTCTTGAGTTCAGCCACATGTTCAGGAGAAATTGATTTAAGGGACAGGATGTCAATCTGCTTATCAGCCTTGAAATCGGAATTCTCATCGATGTAGGTGCATGACAATGTGTCTGCGACGCAAAATTCAGTCTGCTTCTTGTAGATAAACTTCAAATCATACTTTTGAAGCTGCAAGAACATATGCTGAAGACGGGTGGGGGTTGAATGAAGAGGCTTATTTACAATTGCTGTAAGAGACTTGTGATTGGTCTCAATGGTGGTTTGTCAACCATAGATGAAATCATGAAATTTTCTGCATGCAAACGAAACAGAAAGCAGCTCCTTTTAATTTTGTGCATATCGAATTTCAGCTTCCGTTAGGGCTCATTAGGCATACGCCACAGGGTAACCATCCTCTAAAGACGCAGCACCAAGACTGCTCTTTTAGGCATTGATGGACTGCGTGACAGGCTTTAAGGAGTCGAAGTACCTCAGGACCAGAGGTTGAGAGATGTCTGTCTTCAGGCCTTCAAAGTTTGTTGCTCTGCTGGCTCCCAACTCCAGTGTGTGTCATTCCACAGCAATTTGCGTAGTGGCGCAGTCTTCTCACTAAAGATGCTAATGAACTTGTGGAGATAATTGGTCATGCCAAAAAATTGATGCAGTACCTCTGGCCCATCCAGTGTCAGCATCTCTTTAATAGCAGCAACTTTGGCTTCATCAGGCTTGAGACCACCATTCGTGAACTGATGGCCAACATAGGACACTGGGTTGAGGCAGAACGTCCACTTCTTTGGAGCTGGTTTCAGGCTAATATCTTGTACCCTTTGTAGCACCCTCTTTAAGTTTGCATCATGGTGTGCTGTTCCCTCACCCCATACTAACAGGTCATCAATGATGATGGCACAGGGATACCCCAGCAAGCAGCTCTTCCATCGCACACTGGAAGACTTTTGAGGCAGAAGTGATGCAAAACGGCATGCGCAGCATGCGTAGAAACCGGAATCTTCCAAATGGTGTCTTGAAAGTTGTGAGTAATAAAGATTCTCAGTCAAGTTTGATTTGCCAAAAACCACTTCTTGCATCGAGGGTAGATAATACTGTGGCACTGGGCATCTTCAACCGTTCTCATAGGATAATGGGGTCTCTTTAGGGCTTAATTGAGATCCCTCAGATTGATGCAGATGGGAATACTGCCATCTTTTTTCTTTGCCACCACCATTTGTGAGACTCACTCAGTTGGTTCACACGTCGGTGTGATTGCTTCAATCTTATCCATCCTATCAAGTTCTCTTCTAACACTCTCCTCCATTGCAAGGGGTACTCTGGGTGATGGCCTGATAACAGGGGTTACGTTGGTGTCCAGCCTCATATTTTGCAAATTGAGAATTGTAAATTGCCAAGATCACCTTGAGATAAATCTTAAGTTTGTACTTACCAAGTATTGCTGTGCGCAAGGCACTGATGGTGTCAACCTCATGGACCTGGCTGTGCAACTGAATGATATTAAGGAGTCCGTAAGACCAAGCAATGGCATTACTGGCTTGTTGATGATGTGAAATTCCAGGTTATGGGACATAAACTGTAAATAAACTAAGAGCAAGCTATAGTGCCCAGGGTAGTTATTGGTCCCCATGATAGGCAACTTACTGCACTGCCTTCATCTGATCAATCTTCTTATTGCGGCTGATCTTTTTTGATCAACCTTGTGGACAGAATGCCTTGAATGCCTTCAATGATTGGAATCTTGAGTACTTGAATGCCCACCACTATGTTTGTAACAACAAACCTTTTTTAAGTGATTGGGCTTTCAACAATGAAGATCATTAAGCACTTAATGACTGGCCCCAAAGGAAACAGTGAGTTTTGTTTCCCCGAGACCCTCAATGTTACCTGAGACAAAGCCCAGGGTAACATTAAGGGTCTGCAAAGAAATCATTTGTGAAGAAATCATGTGCTTGATGCCGGCTGGCCCACAAATTCGCCGCGGTTTCAAGGAGCACGACCTGATCACGTGTGAGTCAAAAGTTCAAGTTGTTGTTTCCCTAGGGAGTTAGTGAGTTTTGTTCACCCCAGGATGTTAGTAAGTTTTGACCCATGACACATGACATGTTTTCCTCCAATCAGAAAACGTATTTGAGTTGGGAGGTATAACAATGTGTATTAATTATTTTGAAGTGGTTTTATTGTTAACACTAAAGGTGATAACAGAATAAGAATGCACTTTTCTTATTTATTGAACTTCGTCTAACTAAAATACCTATATACGGTACATAAGATTTTTATTAGGCAGGGAGACCACTACAACCTTGCCAATTACAGTGGATCCCTCGTTAATAAGAATTAAACTAAAGCTACGCATATATAAACAAGAAAAATCAAAAGGAAACAAAACAGAATTTCAAATTGCTAGAAACAGCATGATGGCCGGCACAGGAGAGTCCTTGCTATGTTGCACCTGGGACAGATTCTCCAGGTTCTTATGTTGTCAACGTCACACAGATCTAGAACCCTATTGTGATATTGAAGTAGTAGACGTTTAAATGAGGCTAGAGAGATGAGACTTGTGTGTAACTCGGGGGCGCAGAGCATTCCATGTGCGGCATGTACGTATGAAAAATGAGTGTTGATAAGTAAGAGTTCTACTTTGCTTAGGAATATAAATGATAGCAGTGCTGCTCAGTGATCTAGTAAATCTTGTTGATGGTCTAGTTACAGGCAGGGCTTCACTATCTATCAAAACTAAGTTGTTACAGTTTTATAGAAAAAAAACTATATCCAAAAATCCATGCCAGTATGAAATAGGTAACAGATTTGTTAGTTGGAGGCGGGTCTTATAGGCTTCATTGCAACAGGAAGGAAGCCTCAACTCACTGTAGTAAGCCAATGGACTGTGGCAACCATACTTGGGTTGCATAGCTGAGATGGCACTGGACAATAGAAAGATAGAGTGTGCAATGCATTTGGATGCTTTGGATACATGTGGAAGCTCAGCGCCGATTGTTGACTTTCGTGCACTATTCAGTCACAAGACTCCATTACTTGACATGACTTTTTGATAATAAAATTAGTTCTTGTTTAATCAGTAAAATGAATTGTTTTGAATAAAACAAAATCATTCCACTTCGATTTTTTCATCAGTTACTTAACTTTATTCCATCAATCTCCAGTGGGAAAAATAAAATAAAAAGCGAGCACATCTTCCTTATGTTTTCAAAGGTATAATGTTACATACCTTTGCAAGGAAAACAAGTATCAAGTTACAAATGTTGACAAGAAAAGTAAAATCATCATGTTTGTTACTTCAATGTATTGTGGAATTAAAAATGAATGAAATTCAATGTAAAATACCACAGTAAAACTCAAAGCTGTCTTGAAAAACGGTAGTTTTAAGTAACACTGTTATTTTTGGACCCTGCATAAAAATAGCAAGTTAGTGAATGATATAAATAAAACGAAAACTATGTCATGCTCTGCAGTAGCCCACTGGTTGGGACAGAACAACAAGACTGGAGATGTTCACGCAAAGAACTTAGTTCAGATGAACTTAAAAAATGTCTCCTCTGAAAAACACAGTCCTGAAAAGAAAAGCTGTCACAAATGGATCTTATAGGCAGAGTGCTCGGGAAACCCCAAGGAGGGTTTCTTCTGTTTCCTGAATGTACATGTTCTTAGCTGACTCCGAACGCCAGCTGCTATGACGCATGAGCAGCCTGTCTGGGATAGCAGCCGTGGCTGCTGCAAAGCCCCACTGAATCTGAGGCCGTGTGGACCATACTGCTTGGGATTAAGCCCAACGGTTTTCAAACACTTGTTAACCAACTCACTATCTCTCGGATAAGTCAGCGGTTGCAGGTGGAGGGAAAAACCACGTTTGGGATGGCACACATGTATCTTTCTGAGTAAGTAGTCGGTTTCTTGGTGCTGGCCAGCGAGTAGGAACCATTCCATAATTGCTATGGGACAGGAAGAAGGGCTGGTGCGTGCAACCAGGATTGAAGACCCCTCCCTGAAGTGGTCGTTCTTTCTCTTCATCAAGGAGATGGACATGTGGTTGCTGGTCGTTAGCAGGTTTCCACGTGTAAGATCTTTAAGATCATCCCAGCGAAGAAATGTTGCAAAACCAGTGGAAATAAGGCATGTTATCTGGAGCTCACTGAGATTTCCATGTGCCAAACTTAAGTGCCATTTCTTTTACTTGGTCTGTTGTGATTGGCATTTTCCTGTTTTTGGGACAAGTTCCAAGTATTCTTACACACGCCTCAAGCAGTTGTTTCTTCAGGGTGTGATGAGATGGGGACAGTAAGCAGGCTTTTTGGTGCGCCCAAACCACCCCAAAGGCTGCTGCTTGGATGGAAGCCAATGATCCTTTGGTGTGCAGCAGATGCACTAAGTACAGGGCAAACGCAGGACCTGATGTAGGAAGGACATTGATGCCTCTGGGTTCTGCTCACTTCTGCCATGCTGGAAAAGCAGCCAAGTATTTCTTAACAGCATTGGGAGCTCTGTCCTGGATGATGACAAACCAGGTATTGACTCGGCTAGTGAACGCACTTCCGGCTGGCAACTGTGCCTTAGATCCCTCAGGGTGGGGGCAGCTGGCAAAGAACTATATAGAAGTCTTTAATAATAATAATAATAATAATAATAATAATAATAATAATAATAATA